GATTACAAAGATGTACAATTTACAGCCAATCAACAAATTCACTTGGTGTTGTTCTACTTGTATCTTCCCATTGTTATTTAGGAATGTAATTGATCAGTCCCATGTTGGTATATGTGCATCCTGTACGGATTGCCTCGATATAGCCTTAAGTCACAAGCTTTTTAAACAAGGATGAATAGTGTCTAGCAGTGGAATCCAGGATGCGCGTTTCGTCCTATTTATTATTATTATTATTACAGGCAACAAAATGGTTGTTCATTATCATATGAGTGCACACGTTCAAAAACAAGTTAACCAATCACTTGTTTTTAAGTTGTTTTATCATAGCCAAAGAAATTTCATCACAGTTACAATAAGCGTGCAACAATTGTCTGTTTCGAAGATGAATTCATCGAAGAGAACTTCCTCGCTGAACCAATCTTTTTTATTGTCTCGAAAGGAATATTCTGTTCTCTCAAATTTTATTGAACTGCTTTTAAGTATTTTGGCTTGTAGAATCTGTTAGACTCTATTGAGCGATAGTTCAAGTTTTGGACTCAGTTGATTCTGGATGAATTTATTTGTCTTCGGGTTATCCTAGTTTTGTCCTGATTTTGACCTTTCAGATTATTCACCTCTGGTTACCATCCTTTACTTAAATCTATGAAAGAATACTTACCAATCACATAAAACCTTACAAACGAAATGCAGATCATCACAATTAGGAATTGTGAATCATTTTCACATAACAGTAGAATTTTTAAACATCGTTTTTCCATCAGCTGTTGATAGTTTGCTTATGACTAGTCGATGCCTCATGAATTGTGAACATTTACCTTCAAAGGATCCGTATATTATCCCAAAAGTTGTTTCATTTAAAACTTACCTATCTATAAGGGGCAGATTATTCGTTTTAGAGTTATTGTTAAGTCTGTTTTACAATCTGTGCTTATTCACCTCCCTTCGACTCTTTCGTATACTGTTTTATACTACTTATTATTATTCAGTATATAGCTGTATTCCTAGTAATTTCTACGCATATGTTGTAACGCTAGTTTGTCGTGTAATATTCTGAAATATTTACATATACTTATAAGACTTATTGTATTTATCATTATAACTATTCTATCTCAATCATTGTAGCAGTTATTCACAATTTCAAGTATTGGTTTAACCATTGTTTAAACACAGAGGTTTCCATATTGCTTGCTTTTGGTTCGGTTTTTGCTGTTAATAAACTATTACCACGTTTGGACACAACTAACAACTGTCTTTCGCACTATCGTATGTTTTAATTACTCTTGTTATTATTACATGAATTCCTTTTTATTTTAGACTTACGGGCTCGGTAAACGCCACAGACACGTCACAAGTTGAGGTTTGTAACTAATTTTTGTATATGATTCAATAAAGAACCGCTATTTTAGACAAATCGTTGTTTTGCGAACTTCTATTTTGCGCGATAGACTCAACAGTTATGAAGAGCATCTTATGCATCCATTATTCACCACTAGATGTAGTACCCAATTGTTACTCAGTGTTTACACTATATTTTTATAGAATCACTTTGTTATTCTCATCTTCCGGAGTATGTGTGCACTGTTGTTTATTTAATTAATATCGATCCATGATAATGCTATTTTCAGACTGAATTTATTTCTGTTACCCTTTATTATCTACATCAAGATGGTATTGTCAAACAGACAACTAAAATGAATAATTTTTCCCTATGTGAAAATGGACGAAAATCTATACAGTTTTTACCAGCAAGGATAGAGAATGTTCCGGTCGATGTCATGAATGATGGGATTATAATTAACACTTTATCCATTAGATAATGAAGGACTCAGTGGTCTAGAGAAGAAGAGTTCGTGTGCGAGACTGGAGATCTTGGGTTCGAGTCCCGCGTGCGCACTTTCAAGGAGTCTCATACTAGGACGAAATGGCCGGTCAGTGCTTCCTGGTTTTTCAATGTGGTCTAGCTTGAATCAACTCATGAATCCAACTATTAAATTAATGCAATCTCCTCAAACTCATATTCTAAAACTAAATTTCTATTCGAATAAACGCCAGTAAAACTGTTGTAAGACAATTGTACAAGCGAAGAAAAGGACTATCTTTATGTTGAACACATATATAAACTCACTAAGTTCATAATAAAAATTGTGACTACAAACAGGACATTATAGTGAGGTGATATTTAGATAATTATTACTCATGGCAGAAACTTATTAGTGTCTGATATGACTCAGGGTGATAGCTATTAACTTACAGAAGTTTTAAACTACTTTAACACCGAATTCGGTCTATTTAAAATCATCCTTCATAGTAGTTAATAATTCGGCTTCTACAACAATTTGTACCAGTCCGACTTCCACAGGTCCGAAATCCAACTTATCACAAAAATCCAATACTGCGGACACAATTTTACTAGAACAGAATATAAAGCATGAAATAAGAGATCTAGTTCCATCAGTTATGGGCTTTCTAACTGGACTACGGAATACGAATAAGGTACCAAACTAAAAAATACACGAAACATAGAAATTTATTTTAGGTTTTTGCACGATACTGCTTCTAGGTGCTCCAGTAACTACCAATCAATTTGTTATTTTGAATGAATTTCAAACAAATATAAAGGCATATAAACTAGGATAATAGTTTAGTTTTAGCGATCACATCACTCTTGCCGGAAGTTGTCAAGCCATAGGATCTCCTTTTAGAAGACACTTTTGCTAATCTAATAGTAATAATAGTATTTTTCTAACACTGTTATGATCTTATCTTTTTCGAGGTTAGTCGTTTACAATCTGTCAATTTCATAGACGTACTTCTCTGTACAATAATCCTGAAAACTTGAATTGAGCAATATCTCAACTTTCATTGATTTTTTCTTATGAGTTGTAAATACGGATTGATGAAAACGCTCTGCCATAGAGCTGGGAAGTTATACTCACTAGAAAAGCTGGAGAAAGAGCATGCACTGATAAGTGACTACCTTCGAGGAAATCCATACCCTTAATCATTTGTAACGAAGTATGGTACTGAACACTGCAACACAATGAAGACTTTAAAGCTAATGAAGGAACGTATTTCTCTTCATTCATGACTCAAAGATAGGTGAATCATGAATAAAACTGATCAAAGACTAAAGGCAGCTTTGAAGATTACATTTCCTGAGCTAAATTGTTTCCATTGTACACAACGCGATGTTCAATAACTGAAAGAAGGTAGATGATTAGTGCGACCCGTTACCCGACTCCATCTGATCTAATAATATTGATGTTAGTGAGACGTATATAATATTTACTTTGTATATATTCTGTCGACGTATCCCGTCAGTAACAACATAGATGTTGGAAGTCGAATACGAAGGCATTTAAGAAATACGTATTTAAGACATTCCATAATGTAGATGAAAAATAAGAGACGCTAAGAAATGCACGTGAACTAGAATGGCAGAAATAGCCAACTTCGTGAGTAATAGGTAACTCAATCTTTATAATTGTGAGAGATACCAGTGTACAGACTAGCATATACATAGCAGAAACACATACATAAAGTAGGCTCAAGGTTACACGTGGAAAATTGGTAAGGACAAGCATGTGGGTTATAGGACCAATAGAAAGATTAGAATAACTTATAAGTGTAAAGGTATGAAAGAAAACATGTAATCTTGCTACAACAGAGATATATTACAATACTCCCCATATTTTACCTCTGACTCCCTATATTAAATTACACTTACCTGAAAAAGGATGTCCATTAGGACAGAAAGACGGGTATATATATGTCTTTTTTTAAATATACTCTAAAGAAATTACGTTTATGCCGACAAAATTTCTTAGCAGTTTTAAGGCACGACACCTAGCGGAGATGGCAGATAAAGTTGACTCAAAGAAAGCATTTAATGTAATCATCAAACGACCCAACTCCACAATATTAATATTTGCTGTATCTATATGAATTAGAAGGCATAAACCTGATCCTCTTACACAAAACGAGACAGTGGGTAACCCTCGTTTGCCTTGGTGTCCAAAGGGTTTTGACTTCTCTTCTTAATCTCATTTTTCAATCAGTTATGATAACAAGAGAAAGAAACTAACTATCCTGAATTCATTACATTTTGCAATCCGCGTCATTTTCGTTTAATAGATATAATTGTTTTAAAAACCCCAAACTGGCATTCTGTTTTTACTGTAGAACGTTCCTAACCAATATGGTGGACTAGCCGAGCTGAATGTTAAATAAACTTAACAAAAACTTAAAAATTATAGTAGCTAGAGTTTGAGGCCTAAGTGAATTTGCTACTCATCGTTTCCAGAATTCCTGTAGACTAAATGATGAACACCGACCAACAAACTCATCGACTTTTCGATCAAACTAGAAGGCAAACGTTGGTGAGTACTAGATTGCAGCCCAATTAAGTCTGGCGGGAGACCAGTTTAATTATTCCACAATCTTGTCGATTGTTCGTAACTTTTCTATCCCATTGGTAGTCGCAAAGATTGTTCTTTGAAAACTTTTCGCTTTACGATATCTAAGTAGGCTATGATTACTTTTTAATACCATGACTCTTTTTTTTTCTGACAAAGACAACCAAGCATGATCAAAGCAACCAAAATGGAATAATGTAATGTTTTTGAGATAACAAAAAAGCCTAATTGTACGTCAAGTGAGCACTGATTATGCTAATTACAAAGGCAATCAAAGGTTACCAGTCCAGTCATATAGCTAAGAAAACATAACACTATCAAAATCCTTAGCCAGTATGCATCTAAACTAAATACCATTTTCACTGCATTAAAAACTTCGTGAAGCTTTTGTTCGTCAACATATGTGAACAGCTTAGAACCTAACCGCTTGTTTTGTCACTTTTCAGCTTACATTTACTGTCCGTACTCCTACAATCTACCGTCATTAGGTTGCTTAACATTTAGTGATATATAGATATCTAAGCATAAGTAATAGAAAATCCGAAACACCACTTAATTCTATAGAATTTAACTAATCATTCATATGTCACTGTAAACTGTTTCAATTAATGGTACAAAAAGATTCGTAAATGTCTACCAAAATCCCACTCAAATGTTCTAGTTTTATTGTTACAAAATCTGATTTATCTACTGATATGGCTGTAATGTACAAAGCCACTAATTTACATGTTACAACAATTTAGTTACAACAATCAAATCTAACCATGATTCACTATTAGAACTTAAAACGGTTGAGATCAAAAAAATAGACAATTGGATCAAAAGTTCTGTTTATCAAAAACGGTTCAATTCACATACTGTAGATTAGGTAGTATTTTTGTATATGGATGTATGGACATCTTCATTTCTTAAATATATGAACCATCTAATGCGTCCAACATCATTACTTTCTTTTCGTAAAAATGATTATAGTACATATGACTTCTGTGATAAGTGGTATTACAATTGTAAAACCAAATATATACCAAAGCTGACCAACACTCCAATGATCAATGATCAGAAATGCACAAAATAAACATCCAAGCAAATGTGTAAAGATGCCTGAGAAAAGCATTTATAGTTAAGTGAAATTAACATGATTCTAGAATGTCATTCGAAACTTACTGCATCATCAGATGAAATAGGTTAGTTTGTCAACAGTGTCAAGTAACATCACTGACACTTTGAATTATCATTGAGATTAGGTTATCAAAGTAGAAAAAAGCCTAATTTTGATCCATAGAATGTAGTACGTTAATCTATAACCTTTTTTCATTTATTTCAGATGTGCAATACTAAAAATACTGATACTCTAGACAAAGACTTTCATGTTTTATTAGCTTAGTAAAATAATAAGTGTCAAAGTAATAAGGGTTTATTTAATAATTTATATTAATTTATGAAGTTTTCAGCCTTATTCAGACATTATCAACCTGGACGTTTAAGAAAAAGCGATTTGGTCCGTATGCGGGAATTCATGGTAAATTATCAGAACGACTCAGACTTTTGTAGTGAAATAGAGTAAATGCGTGAACGCCATATTTAAAAGAAATCGAAGGGTTTTTAACGAATTTCAGCATCATTCATATGTAGCCATTGCATTATTCCGACATTAAACAAAATTTTCGGTCAACAGGACCTGTAGAATTTGGCGAAGTTTTATCATAAAACTTAAAATTTAAGGCAACGACTTTAATAATAGCATTACTTTATATTTTTATTCACCTTTAACGAACTGTAGTCAGATTAAATGAATTGTTGCTAACAAGAGAACCAAGAATGCACCTTTCGTCCTATTTAGGACTTGTAGAGATGGCTAATTTACGCATGATTCGTGAATAATTTTTATCATTCTTCACATTTTTCATAATCACACGTCGTTTACAAATATCTTTTCTTCAGCTAAAATAAGTTTAAGCGGATATAAAATTCCCATGTTTTTTCTTCTGCATGGTACATTGATTTATCACACATTGTTATTATTCAAACTCCCCTCATATAACTAGGTTTCCAACATACCTGTTGCTTAGTTTTAAACTTGGTGATTTTGCTCGCTGTCATGGTCGATTGTCTGTCATAATATCGAAGTGTATTCAGTATTTTAGATTTGTCAATTTTTTATCATAGGTGTGCGGCTATTTTTGAATCTATTGGACGCAAAACTGTTTATTATCCACCAGTAACTTTCAATAACTTGTTTGTACTTTCCTTTTATATTGCTAAATAATGTTTTGTACGTTCTTTTGAGTAAAACTATTATTATTCTCATGCTTACAACTTTGGTTCAACATAGACTCCTAACTTGGATATACATGCATTCTGATTTTAATGTTCGTGTTGGAAACCGAACCTAGTACTTCTCGATTTAAATAACCAGTGGTAAAAATGAACCGGTGAGTATATTTGAGTCCCTGATACTACTCTACGCTGAAAATGTAGAAATTTAGAGGGAAATAATAGGAGACGCAGTTGCATGTGCATTGAAGGCGCACTTAAATGTTCTGATTAGATTGCCTAAAACATTTCTGATGCCATTCAATGTCTACATGAATATTGAGGATACAACGACAAATAGCTACAGCATTACGGAAGAGTCAGTACCCGTAGTCTTGACCCACAACCTCAAGACTACGGCCCACTGCCATGAAGTTGCATGAAGGGGGACCGAAAACCTATGGAGTTCAAGACGGACATTTAGCAAGTTGCTTACTAGTATGCTCGCTACAGCATGCACAACTTTAGTGAGATTCAAACTTGGGAACTGAGTTTAATCTGTAAGCCCCTGTTTAAAAGGTGACTCCTAATTCTTGGGAAAATAATAGAGGGCAGATACCAGTGTAAATGAAGAATTCAAAGGTTTACCACACATAGAGCTGCTTGAGAAGCTAGGCATCTTAACTCTGTCCTACCGCTGGATAAAAGATGGCTTGGTTTTGGTGTATAAAGTACTAAAAAATGGTATCGGACCTGAAATATCCTTTTTCTTCTTCCTAAATTAGGACAACTCAAAAGACACATCAGGAGAGTTCAAAAACCAGGAAAGGACGAAATATCGATGGCGTACAGACTTTCACATCGAGCTCCCAACACTTGGGACCCGTTACCCGAAAAAATGGTATCCGCACCTTTAATCGGCTCAATCAAGAAAATACTATACACTCTCACCTTACTAGAGGAGAATTAACTCAGACCGTAGGTATTCCTGTTTAAATACACGAATCTGAATCTGATGTAAGCATTTATGAGATACATTCAAAATCACCCACAAACCACCCAATCCCCAAATTTCGGGAATATTTATCCGTTTTGAGGACGATTGCGGAACTTTTGGGGAAATGGCACAAAACTTCCAAATATTCCACCAAAATTGTGAGATTGGCAATTTTCCGTATTTATCATGAAGTATTTGTGTCAAAATATGCAAAAATAAACTAAAATACCACGCAACTAGTTAAAAATATCAAGATTTTAGGTGGAAACTCACTTATGTAGAGAAATATACCAGCGTATACGCTGACACACAAAATACAGTAAAGGATACAAAAAATGTTTTGGATAAGACAACTTCCGACCGTAGCGACGACACAAATGAGTGTCTCGAGTAACAGAAGTGCTAATGAAATCCCGGATGGCAGAAAGTACCTGTGTTCATATTAATTTAAAGTATTTATATTACATTGAATCCATCCTGTTAGATTGAGGCGACAGATAAGGATTCTAAGTTAAATCAAACCATCTTAATTCAGCTCACCGGATTGCAAACTACTACAGAAAGTAAGATTATTTGGAAGAAAGTGACCATGAATCTCGTTTCTAAGATCATGACTCTTAATTCATTTGCGAGCCATGAAATGTAATAGAAATTAGTGAGCATTTAGAAAATAAAACAAAATTTATATTTCGCAAGATAGAAAAGCCAGAATCTCTGTTAATTAAAACTTCTGTAGCCACAAAGGTATTTGAACTACTGAGAAGCAAAACGTACTTATTCTCTGTACGCTTTTATTGAGAATGTTACAAGCACGAATTGAAATTTACGCGCGTGTTTTAAAAAGGGACATTGAGTTACGTTTAATTGCGGCCATTTCGTACTAGTTATGGACTAACTTTGCTTTGATGCATCCATTGTATCAAAGCATACTTGTTTGACTTTGACTTGATTTATTTCCTTGAAGTCTTTGAATTTTTAAAAATCCGACCAGCAAAAACGTTTATATAATCCAGACTATTAATATAGGTACTGATAACGAAGAATGTGTTAGTGTAGTAGGTGCTGTTACGGGACGAGCCCGAGCACGAGCGCATCATACTATAAGAGAATCTCTTTTAAACCAATTAAAGAGTAGAATACCAGTGGATATTCGTAGTCACAATTGTACTTTAGTATCCAAAGACCTGGATTTAAAAGTTACTATCATCAGTAGTCCCGATGTGAATGATCTGACTGACGGGAAATCGAAAGTAGTGTCGAAATAAAGAGGAGCAAGAAACATAACTACAAACTGCGCCCGTTTTATCGACAAACCTTTAGTAGACTCACATTCCACATCACAGACTACCTCGTCAAAGTCCCGAAGGGAGACAATATTTAACCCTAGCGTACTCGGAAAGTTTGATCTCATTGAATGTATCGTCAGTAATTTTTTCGAATCAGGTAACTCGGATCCAAAAACAACCAAAGAAAAACTCTTAGTAGTTGACATACGCGAAATAGCAACACTGTCAAAAACCACGAACGCGACTTTCAAAGCAGCCAAATCCGTTCTTAATTTAGTGATTTTGGATCTGGAGGAATCGAAAGAAAATGACCCTGCTAAAATCATGCAGACAATTTGGATATGGTTAAATATGACATCATAAATATACTGCCAGAAGAGGTCCAGGAGTCCATATCACTAACGTATTAATACTTGGTAAGTGGGGTGGATGTGTAGTGGCATTGAAGCATAACCACACAATCCTCAAAGCTGAATACGAGATTACCCGAAAAATAGATATTCAATATGATTTTTTGTACTTAACATGTATATGTTTCCTAGCTTCTTTTGCCATATATTTGTAAGTGTCCCTAGGCTAAATGCAGTAACTTCTTATGGAATGTTTATAACGCGTCATAATCCTGCCTGAAGTTTCACAAGCAGTCTTAACTTTAAAATTGTTTTTCTGGTCATGGTTATTATTTTAAACTTTTCATATACGTCAACAACCTGCATGTTAACTTGGCCCGTACATGCGTTGCACTATATCTTCATGTCTTCTAAATTTAGAAATCATTTGAATCACCTTTAACATTCATCAGTAAACCCATCATAGTCGTTGTTGCTAATCGTATTTGGGTTGATGGATTGGTTTATCATATTAGCAGCCTAAAATACGGACATAGTCAAATAATAAAATTACAAATTTAGAGACTATCAAGTACACTTGTAAAATAACTAAAATCTCAGGTAGTTTTTGGTTATATAGATGTTTAACATCAGAACTCCCGAGCCTACTAGAATTAACATTAAACAAATATTTCTGAATTGAAATTTATAATTAAATTAGGCGTCTCGGATTCTTTAACGTTATAAATTTCTGATAATTTTGAATCACCTAAAACAACAATGCCTATTTTTCCACTCGCCAATCTTCAATCAACACTATAACTAATTAAACATAATAGTTTCAGGATATCTTCATAAAGCATTGTCATGACTTGACAATCACGTAATATGATTGATAAAATTAATGAAACTATTAACAAAATAGGTCAGCAAATTGACTTATGATTATCACTAGTGTCGTTTTCTTTTATCTTCATTCACTACAGATGATTACAGTATGTTTCTCTATCAGTTGCTCATTCAGTAAATATCTCGAAACCTTGTCAGTCTAATTGATGGTTTAGCGACACAATCATGCATGCAAATAATCAGCATGAGCAGTCGAGCAAATCTCCTGCAAACTGAAAACATCAATGTCGAATTTACCCCAACACTGACTAAGGTTCAAGCCATTATCATGGACGTCAGTTGGGAGTGTACTCCCCTTGGTTACAACTTATGTTCTCCCTGTTGATCACATGAGCATCACTCACTATTAATCATCTTATAAAAAATTATTTAGCCAAATACATCTTGCAGCACCACATCACTTAGTAATATGACACATAGGTTTAACTAATTTCAATAACGTATAACCACTATATCTCAATTAAATCGTGTTCCGCCTTATGATAAACTGCATACTTTCAACTAACTTGTATACCCGATCAGCCGGCAAGTATAGATATAAATAAATAGTCTGCCGCAGATCAGAACATTGAGTCTAGAGCATGTCTCTTACAAATACACTCATGTTTAACGATTTGTTCCTAGCTATCTGTCCAAAATTCACATAATTATCACTCACGTATTTAAATTTTGTTTTGGTAACCATTCATGTGTATTAGTAGTATTACTAAATTCTATCACGGTCAGGTAAACATGGGGTTGAGAAAATCTTCCCGTAACTAAATAAACCGTATCAAACTAACTGGAACACTAGTTGGAATTCTTCTCCACGGTAATACTTTTGTTCCTTCAGTTAGCCTACTAATACAGATGCAATTGGAAATCAACTCATATGGACAACTTACCGGCATAATCGTTATTCGATTTCATAACTTAGACTAAAAGTAGTGCTAATATTAAAATTTCTACAATATTCATAACTTTAATATTTCTAAACACAAAATAATTACTACCTATACGTTAAGTTATTAACTAATGGCTACTAACACGCATCGTTTTATTATTATTATTGTAATCCCAATTTTTATAGCTCAAATAATCTTCACCCAAATTTTCGTTTTAAGCGTGTTAAGCATGAAGGCAGATATTTTAAAATTATTACATGTATTCCCCGACCAGATGCTGCCGACTTCTTTTTGATTTATCTTTCAGCTTGTCATCACCCAGGGGATTCTTACTAGTCTTGGTAACCTTCGGCACACTACAGTCCCATCCAATTTGGTATCAAACCAACACCACGTTGATTCTGGTGGGAGAGTAGTGTAGTGGCATTGGACCATAACCACACAATCCTCAAGGCTGAATACGAAATTACTCGGAAAATAGATATTCAATATTTAACGCGAATAAATACCTAACGATGGAGAAGGCGCGAATAATGAACTGAATGAGTTAGAGTTGATCGAATGGCATGGCTCGGCCATGCAGGCGTGGTCCCTGCTGAATGTTATCTTATATCTTCTATTCATATTAAATACATTGTTATTTCTCTGGCTTAACTTCGTTCTACATCATGTATTGGTAATTGATACGATACAGTGAGTTGGCGTAGTCGATGGTGTGACTTCCACGTAAGATCTTATAGATTAGGCAGTTATATCATGATAAATCTACAATTTAGGATTAGGTCTATTATTAGAGCAGCACTAATATTACAGTAGACCATAGTTCTACAGATGAATTAAGTGCAAAGAAAACTGTCTTATTAGAAACGTAGCTCTAATCACTGCAAGTTACGTCTGCGTTGCAAGTGATAGCGTTAAAAATCACAAAAAAGAAGGCATAATACTACATGTTGGAAATCACTTTTGTGCAACATTTGGGGTAACTTGTTGTAAAACTAAATCTAGACTCTGTTTAGTGAATTTAGGAGGAATGTACTGTAGCCCATGTTCTTTAACTGACGACTTGATCTCAAGTCATATTTGTTCTTAGAGTAATGCCGAATATTGTCACATCGATATTTTAGTTCGCCGCATATCAAGTGGATAGAGCTTACAACTTCGGATGTATGTTTCGATAACAACCTGATATCAATCATTATTTGATGTGAGCTTGTAAAATGTGTTATAAAATCGATACGTGTTGGTTTGAACACCGACCGTCATTGCTGAGCCTTGTCTTTACACGCCTTTATAACAATGTCATCGACAATTAGCACCTTCTCCCACTAGAAACTATTGACTACGTTCTATTGCACTTTGGGCTTTGGACAAGCAATATGCATTATTAATATGCTCAACCCTGTCCCAATATCTGATGAACTAACATTCCGGCAATCGGAGACTCTGTAACAACTTAGGTTGACTAGTTAAGAGTTGACCTCAAACAACCAAGTATATGTCAAAAAATAGAGCTCAAGTACTTATTCACTTCCTTATTTCGTATAGGCACTATGTTTCCTATTATCTTATATAGAATGTCGAAAAGCTTTGTTTGTTTGAACAGGTAATTTTCCTGTCCTCTGGCACTGTCTCGCGATCTTAATAGAGATCTATTTGCTATTAGTCTGATCTCTTCTATCAACAGAACGAAGGTTACCTATAAGCACGAAAGCTATGCTATCTGGACGTGTTGATGGATCAGTGCACATTGATTTATCAGAGACGTGTGGAATAAGTTCAAAGTTACACTCTAGTCCATAACATTACCGTACATCACATGGTCAACATTTAGGCTACCACGTTGCGTTCCATGAATCGACAAAGTTACCCAAACCCTGCTGAGGCGTAGGAAACACCTCTGGGATTATTCTTGTCAATAACACACGAATCACTTAGGTGTGAGTACCGAAAAGTCTGAAATATGTGTAAGAAGACCACAGCTAGATGTCGTAACATTTACTTACGACAGTTGGCACATGTTAGCCGTACCTGTCCAAAATGTTTGTTTTTATGCATTAAACGAAGAACAGAACGTAGGGATGGTATTCCTCCATTTTTGTTGCACGAAAATTCAGATATGCCAGCTGAATCAGACCTGGCAGAAGCCAAAACTTTATCAAACTATCTCCAAGAAATCTACTCTGCACGTATTGATAACGATACTTGTCACAACCACAACACATATACTATCTTTAAGACCTGTACATGTGACTGAGGAAGTTGTTCTTCAGTTGGTCATTAACCTCAGATATAGTAAGATGCCGTGGTCTTGATAAGTTACGTTCACGATTGCATTTATGCCTCATCGACCTCACTTCAAAGCCAATCACGATTCCCTTCAACAAGTCTTTTTCCCACCCCAAGGTACCATGTTAGGTCCTCTACTTTTCTTTCCCTACGTCATTGAATTAGTGTTATTGTTCAAGTCATCGACATCGAAATCTGGAGAATAATAAAGGGTGAGGCTGATCATTTTCGTTTCCAGGCTGACCTAGACGAACTAGTGAGGTTGTCCCAAGTTTGGGGCTTAGCAACGAATTCCAAAAAGTGCACTCACGCACATGCAAGGTAATAGTTACCAGTGAACTGTCAACGGTACATAGCCTCCATACGTACAGGAACACAGAAAGTTAGGGAAAAATTTTACATCCCGATTTGAAAACAACTACGCATTGCAACGCATTAGCCACCGAAATTTTTCGAGCGTAATAGTTAATTCGCCGCGCATTTAAATTCTTTAACGAGATGTTTCAAAATTTATATTCCACCTAGGTAAGATCACATTTACAGTAATGCAATCAAACAACCTGACCATGTTTTATTAAAGATAGTAACTTGTGTCAGCGTATTCAGCATGTATAAGCAAAATTAGTGAAAAACCTTCCCAGACATTCTCACAAAGAGCTCTTAGCACACCTCAACCCTCCCACCTTATCGTGTCGTAGAATGCGATGTGACCTCGTTTTGGCATTTTGTAACTTTAATCACGAATTGTGCGTTAATGTGTTTTATCATTTTGGTCAAAACAGAACTGATAATCTTCTGGGCCACAACAAGAAGGTTCATAAACCGCAATCCAATAAACTCGGAGTGAAGGCCCGTTCTTCTCATTTAGTGATCAATGAGTGAAACGCCTTACACGAACAAGTAGTGTACAATTCCAGGGAGAAGCTGGATCTTCACTGGAAAACAAACAGTGAGGTCCACTTACCAAAGGAGGGAGGGTGGAGTTACTGACCAACAAGCATTGATGGTGAGGGCGATAACTTCAATACAACCGTGTTTATGGGGGCAGAACATTTTGTATGTATCAGACAATGTATAAACGTGAAAATTATCAACAAAGTTATTAAAGATCAATAGTGATATTAATATATACCAGTTAATTGTTACAAATACAATAAAAAATTGTGATGTTACTTAAGTTCATCAAATTGATGCGTGTTCAGCTTTAGTTTGGTACAGTAAATCCACAATTGTAAATGCTTTGTAATTCTAATCGGGTTGACGAACTCTCCAGTAGTGTAATCCAACGTAAGGTGTGGTATATTCTCACTCACATCCTATAAATGTAGGTAATATTTGACTTAGATTTCATTTACCTCAATCACAAACGAAAATAGAAGGAGGGCAATGTGTGTAGCAATGTATTTGTTAACAAGCCGCAGTATGTCACGCTATGTAGTTACACAACGGAAAGTGTGCTCAAGGTCATTCACATAAACAACACGTACAGTCATTTAATGATAGATAAACATACAGTGAAAAACTGAGAAAATAAATACAAATAACATTAAAATCATCTACAAAATAAGCTTGTCAGGCATGTCTCCACATAGCTCCCACCAGAGTGTCCGGAGGTAACATTGGTTATAATAACAAAAAAATGTAAGAATATGATATATACATGTATGCAAAAATAATATTTACAATAATAACCAACAAAAATATGGAGATGTGTATGACATGTACGTTAGTAACATACAGTGTGTTATTGTGTGAAAATAGCAGAGATGTAGCATAGCATAATAAACACACACAAAAATGAGAATACTTTCACTTAAAGTCGTGGTTTGCTAACAATGATAGTAATGTGCAGAACTGTTGATAAACCCACAAGAAAAAATCGACATGCTTATTTTTGTGTACAAAATGAATAAATAATTAAATATAGTTTACTCGTTTATTATTGTGACAAAAAATATTTAAAAACTGTGACAAAACGAGTCATTGTGGAAAATTGTGATTAATTATGTACACTGTGAAAAGCGAAGAAAAATTATAGATTTTGTTGGAAAAATCGGGTGAATTTAATAGTATAGTACATCGATAATTGTCTGTTTCGATTTTTTTTTATTCGGTGAAATGTACATAGCGTTTGGGTTTTTTTGCAGCTCTGCCTGAACGTGTTAAACAAGTAGGTGTGTTACTCGGTTTTTCTTCCTTGTCTGATCTAGTGATGGTTGCTGGGAGGGGTTGGTTAAGTGCAGTAGTATCTTCTTTGTCGTGCTGCGCTTCGTAGAACACAGGCTTTATTCTGTCTATGGAAGTTGTCTCCTTGTTCCCTTTTTTGTTGATAACGAAGTATTTGCTCGTTCGTTTGATTATTTGGTATGGTCCTTCGTATGGTTGTTTCAATGGTTTTTAAACTGCATCAACACGGACGAAAAAAAACTTGCATGTTTTCAGGCTTTTGTCAAGTTGCACTCGGTTGTTACGTTCCCGAGGCGGTGTGGCTTTGATTCGGTCCATGGTTTGCAGTAATTGGCTGGCGAAACGACTTGGGTCTGTCGATGTCGATGGATTTGAGTCTATGAGTTGTCCTGGTAATATGAGAGTTGTGCCATAAACTGACTCAGCAGCTATACACCCTATGTCTTCTTTGATGGTTGAACGGATACCTAGGAGTACAAGAGGTAATTCATCGCTCCATTTTGATATGTCGTTTTGTGCCATCAGCGAGCTTTTTAGTTGGCGGTGAAATCTTTCGACCAAGCCATTAGCTGATGGGTGACTAGCTGTGGTTTTAATGTGTTTGACCCCTAGAAGTTTAGTGAACTCCTGGAAAAGGATAGATTGAAATTGGGGACCACGATCTGTTGTGATTATTGATGGTACTCCATAGTTAGATATCCAGCGGTCGGGGAAGACTGAAGCGACTGTTTCTGCTGAAGTGTCTTTTATGGGTCAGGCTATGGCCCATCTAGTAGACCTGTCTACTGCAGTAAGGATGTACGTGATGGTGACAGGGGCCCCACTAAATCTAAATGCACGTGCTGGAAGCGTTTGTCAGGGATGGGGAACTTCCCAATTGGACTGGAGGTGTGTCTCTGCGTCTTACTGCGTTGGCACTGGAGACAGCTACATGTCCAACGTTTAGCATCCGAGTTGATTTTTGGCCACACAAAACGTTCGTTAATGATCTTTGTCGTTGCTCTGGTGCCTGGGTGTGAAAGACCGTGCAAGTGCTGAAATATTTTTCGTCGACAAGCGTGTGGGACAAACGGACGATTGTCGCCTGTTGAGGTGTCACAGATTTACTATGGCTTCGACTTTTTCTGAAAGTGGTTTAATACCATGCGAATCGATGTCTCCATGTCTCCACATATTCAATCAAGGACGTGGTAGCCTTAATTTTAGAAAATAATCGGAAAATGTAGGGTTTCACCCATAATAAAAATATACCGTTTACTACGCTTAATGATGTTTAAGTATACGAATAGTTAACCGCGGTATTACAGTTGTTAACGTTGCACATCTATGTCTCGCTCAACAAAAGAAGATTGGGTTTGTAGTGATCCAAAGTAAGATTGCCAACCTTCACAAATAAGCTTTCAGATGTAAAAATGTGAATTTTGCTAAAAGGGACAAGTGCAACCGTTGTGACAAGCCTAGGAAATTTGTGGCTTCAGGTAATGCTGGTTTAGAGGTCGGGAAACAGCTAGCTGAAAAAAGCAAAGGTCTTTTCAGTCCAGATGATTGGATTTGTAAGACGTAAGTGCGCGATGAAAATCTTTAATGATTTCGAGTGCAGTCACATGCTATAGTTCAGTGTCACCCAAGTGGCTACTCACTATAAATCGTTACTTTGCCTTAAATAAGTTAGTGTCTTCTCCACAGCAAGATCGTTAAGGATGTCCCATGATACGTCTCCATTCTGCAATGGGTTCAAATCTTAATACACTTGTGGACACGAATTTCAGTTATTTATTTTTATTCTCTTTTTATGGGTGATACCATAGTATAAAAACAAGCTTGTGCTATCCCAAGAGTGAATTTGCATAAATTATTTAGATAAAGTCGGGAATTGAGGTTATCACTCAGGATCAGTGTCACGACGTTTACCACGAACTGAATCCAGTCATAATACAACACTATGACTATTTAAATTTTGAGCACGAATTCGATACGTACTTCCTAAAAGCTGATTGGTTCGTCCCCATAGCTAACCGTCTTATGCTCGAAGCTAGAATTCTGCTGCTCAGAATGGGATCACGGGCGAAGTTCATGTAAATTAATCTTGCATGTATATCCAACTCAATGTAACATCGGTCAAGCCTAGTATTAACAGCGAGATCATAGTTTATGGACAACCCAATGAAATTAAGGAAAAAAGGCCCTGAATTTAGGCACGAAATTAATTTATTCTCATATTTAAATAGCATTTTGGGATTATAGCTGATGTCTGGTGGACACGGAGAGTCCACCTAGGAGAGTTGGAAAACCCTGATTCCAATGCAATGTTGCACATAGGCTCCAGTATCCTAAAGGAACAAATAGCGTACGAACCAACTTTTGGTCTTCGGCTACCATGGGCCTGCATCTCCTGATGTTGATCCACTGCTTTGTGGGTTAGAAATTTGAGTCAATGGTTTCGGGTGTGACCCTCTAAGAAAACCACCTGCTTCGGTTTGGGCATCCAGGCGTTATCCCGGCCCTCACACGAATCGAATGATCTATGTAGTACATATCTGTTTGATGCCTCCTTGTAACAATGTTTGTGTTTAAATAAAATAAATAATAGCTGATGTCAGTTTGTAGTGAAAACCTTTACTTTGATTCGTAATCTTAAATTCTAACTCTAAATTCTAATTCCTGATTAATTTACACTTTTTTGCTATTGGTGAGTAGATGAGTTACTTTGAGGTCACTTAATCGTTCCTCAAAGGTCGTCTACAAATTATGGCCCCACCACACTAACGTTGGATTCTTTCTGAAGACTAATACCCAGTTCACTTCATTCATCCATTAAAAACTTAGAATGTGAAATACCTTATACTTACTTAGCTTGTACATGTTGGTCTAAAAAGCGTAATTTGCTCCATAGCTTCTATCCTTTTCCTCTTTAAATATTGCTTTCTATTCTAAGTACTCATATAATTATTTTGATATATTTTACGCATCAGCAGTTCAATTAACCGGATTAGTTTCTTTTTCGAGCCCCTTTCTCTGAATGTCTTGACAGCGTTCTAATCCTTACTCCTCCGAAGTTTGGAGTGTAGGATTTTACAAATCATCTTTAATTGTTTTAAACAGTAGGTAAATAATGACTTATTTCACGTCTTCATTGTTTATTCTCACTTTGTTTCTTAAACATTGTATATAGATGTGGAAATATCAATTGGGCACGTCGAAGTACTTGTAACGTGTGCAATGGATCAAAGGTCGACATACAAGGCGAAAGAACAGGTTATGGTGGAGGGTTTATGGAGCGCGATGAAGTAGTAGAATACCGAGAACGCAGAGACTCAGATGATGAGTTTGATGAATTCGGTCGTAAAAAGAAAGGCTTTCGAAAAAATCAGAGTGAACAATCTAGCAACCATGACTCGTCCAATTTGGGTAACAATTCTGTTACACGAGTTCATGATAAAGATGATGAAGACGAAAATGGCAATAATAAAGGTGATGATAGTGAAGATGAAGATTCTGGTGATGATGCTGATCTCTCAAAGTATGATATTTGGGGGGCAGAAAACAACGATTCGGATGATGAGTTATCGAATCAACGAAAACCTGCATCTTCACAAGAAGCTGCAAAAAATAAGTCACGAAGTCATAGCCACTCATCTTCCTCGGATTCAGACTCTGATTCTTCCTCATCTTCTAGCCAGACCTCACATTCATCACACTCTGATTCATCATCAAGGTATTTTGAATTTTAAATATTTTATTATTACAGAAGTCAATTTATGTACTCAGGTTGATATATTTTGGCCGATTAAGTTTCTATCATTTTATTCTTTGGTATTTTTACTATGTATGAATCGGAGAGCTTTGGATATTTTTCAAAGGCTGTTTACTGATATCGTATAATATATATAGTTTTCATAAGATAGTTTTAGATGTTAATAACCAAGTAGAAAAAACCACAGGGTTTTAGTGACTTAGTTAACAATTATTAAACAACTCATGTAAGTATTAACGTAAGCAACCGAAAAGCAGGTTACCAGAGCCATCTCAGTAGCTATGACTGATGTTAGTAATGGATTCAGTGAGGTTGAAAATATATTTGCAATCCCATGGTGTTCAGTGTCCTTACAAGAGTAGTAATCTACTAAACGATCATGAAAAGTAAAGAGCACTATTTTATTTATATACATAAGTTGGTCCACCGTGGTGTTGGGAACATGTGTGGTTGCGCCAAAGGATTGAGCTATACTATTAAGATTGTAATGTAAAAGCCCTATATGGTAAATGCTCTTTACTCGGACACTAATAGGCGAGTCAGAGCTTATAACGAACTGTCATTTGATTTCGTAACCTCAGGTGGTGTCCGACAAGACTGTTCGCTATCTCCATTTCTGTTCAATTTCATCATAGACCTAGTGCTGGAAATAACGTTCTCGTCGACTGCATTTTCAGAAATTGATCTCCTACCATGAGGTCACTTATCGACTTGGAATATTCAGGTGATATAGTCCTGTTTGGTGAAGACGCTGATAAAATTCAGTCTTTTGATAGCACTGAGCAACAATACCAAGATGTTTGGGATGCGTTTCTCCCCCTCTAAATGCAAGTTGTTGCTTCAGGGCTGGCCTGCGTCAACACCTGAACTAAGGATAGAGAGTGAAGTAGTCGAACGCGTCGACAACTTCACTTATATTGGAAGTCTGATCAGCCCCACTGGGTTGGTATATGACGAAATCTGTGCACGGATTTAGAAAGCTCGTTCGGCTTTCGTCAACTTACGTCACCTATGGCAAAGGCGAAATATCCGTCTGTCAATAAAGGGACGAGTATGATGCGCATGTTCGTTCTGTTCTAATTTACAGCTGCGAAACGTGGCCATTAGGAGTAGAAGGTACTCGTATTTGATCACAGATGTCCTAGAAATATCGCTCGCATCTGTTGGGATCACCGGGTGAGGCTAGACGCAGGGTATTAGGGAATGATGGTAAATCAGTTGATGAGGTTGTAAATCTTCATCGACTGAGATGGTTGGGCCACCTGTTACGTATGCCTAAACACCGATTATCGCGACGCGCATGCTGACTAGTGTTGGGAATGGTTGGAAGAAAGTTAGGGGTGACCAAATTAAAATGTGGTGTCAGTCCTTGAATTGACTAACTTCTAGCCTGAGCGATGTTGGTAGATGCAGACTACTTGGTTGGAGTCCGCGCGACTATCGTAACCTATGGTTGGAGACTAGATGATATGGCTGAGAATCGATCACAACGGCGTAGGTGTACACACTCTCTTTCTTCCCTTAAAACGTGAGATTAAAATTGCTTTATACCTTTATTTGTACAAATTAATTCTTCCTGTATTATATGCTTATACACAATCTTTCTTTTATATATTACTATCATTGAAGTAACTACTTCTATGAATTTGGTGTTCATCTTGTTGTGTTAATGAGATGTGGCAACTTGAAATGATGCATATATGTGCCTGGTCCTACGTTGTGACTAGCTGATTAAGATACATGAATATCGGTACAAGGGGGCACCAAGATAATTATGTGCAATGCAATAAGGAAATGAGATTATGAAGCGATATAGGAAGGAGGATAAACATAATCTAAAACAAAGTCAGTAGATGTATAGACATAAATGAAAGTTTAAAAAAATTATGAGGGAAGCAGTTCTTTTGAGAAAAATACAACCAGCAAAAATCGTCTGTTACTGGAGCTTCTCTCACTTTTATAAAAGCCACTGCTAGCTTCTAAGTCATACCTAATAATGTCTCAAGTTACTGTGTTGCAATATCTGTAAGACCCAGCCAGGAAACTATGGAGGGCTGACAGAGTCCATTCGTGTCCAGCTTTCATATCACAGTATCATTCGTATACTGACTACCTCTTCACTTTTTCCAACCAGTCCCTGCGTCGGCAAATAATGTACGAGGTGGAATTTGCTGGGACTACACTCGTAGCTTATGTCTATGCCGCCAAAGTCTATGTTTAAAATTGGTGAAACTAACCGAATTATCGTCACTATTCTCAAACACACGTTCTCAAGTCGCTGCATCACTAATATGCTATTGCCACTGAACGTCACCAATCTTTTGATAACGTTAACCAAACACATAGTTTTCTAACACCCCCAATGATTAGAGGTCAGGTTTCACAAGCATATAGCAAGATTGCTCTCACCGACACGTTTTCAACTCAACCTTTAACAACCAAACTAACATCACGAAAGCATCAAAGATAGCCCAGATTGACACAGGCTTCTCTAGCTTTCACTTTACTTAAACCAATCTCATCAGTTACGCCACCTCCAGTAATTATACAACTACAGATATATGGACGTTTTGACTACTAATTGTTCACTAACAGGACCGAGTTCATGCACAAGTTTCTGTCAATTTTGTAAAGACACTTTGCATTTGGAGAGTGCAAAGCACATGCCATACCTATGGACATTGGTTACCAACTGACTAAGAGCGATTTGCAGGGTTTGACTCATCGCACAGTAAAACAATATCACCATCATACTAAAGGTCGAAAAGTCTTTCTTTAGGTAATGAGTCCGCACCCTCATTATCTACTTCCATCAGAGATGTTTCCAGAACGTCACCGATGGCAAAGTTAAAGAAGAATGGCAAGATTGGAGAAACCTGTCTAACCCCAATGCTTGAGTGGATCAGTAGTGAGGTGGTTGCATGCCATCATTTTGCCTGAGGTGTTTGTATACAGAGCCCTCAAGATGTTAACACACTTTATGTACACCCTTCTTCAACAGACAGTTCGATAGAATAGTTCAACAAATCGTAGTAATCATTAGTCTATAGTGGTTAGACTGTTAATACAACTTGCGTAAGGCTAGAGAACTAGTGCAGCTAATATCAACCATTTTTTAAGTATTCAAAGTTAATATTTGGGTTTTCCGAGCTAGATAGTTTGAGCGTTTATTATTTATTTATTTACTTATTTGAACACATAAATATTGGTACAAAGGAGCACCAAATACATATGCGCTCATATTGTTAGCGACTGTTTTGCTTAGCATTATTAGTCTACATTTCCTTCATAATTTGGTAGATTTGTTTGATAATGATATCAACGTTCTGTTCTATCACATATAATCATCATCCGGCTTAATTTTACCTTGTGATCTTGTAATTTTGTGCCCTGTGCCTAATATTTAAACAGTAATTTATGATCTATTAGCTCTCAAGTAATTATTAAAATATTAGATTCTTGATTGTGTTGTACTCAAAATGTCTTATACCTTATATATTATAATTTTAGTTCCCACAGTGAAGCATCTTCCAAACTCGAAAATCAATCCAATAGCAAACGATCTCATCCTAACAACGGGAATGCAGACAATGATAGTGACAACTCAACTCGTGTAAACCACAAACGAAAAAAACAATAATGAACAGCAGCAGCACGATCGGTTGATGTCGGGTACAGAGAGAAGTGCTAATCTCTAATATAATCTCTACGCTCCGTGTCGGTTATATATATATATATATATATATATATATATATATATATATATATATATATATATATATATATATATGCATTATACTTTGCGTAATAGTTACTTCGTTAGCGATCTTTTTTAAATTAATTTACCCTAAACAAATCTGTAAGCTCCAATCTAGGTGTAATCGATATGGGTCTATGAAAATCTTAGAAACTAGTATTGAAGCGTTTATGTACACAAAAATAAATATAGTTCACAATAAAATGATCGGAAAAGCAGTCAGATTTCCACTTTGGAAGCACCAATCAAAAACTTATTGTTTACTACCCATTCCTCAACCCCCCCCCCAAAAAAAACTTGAATAGTAATAAACTTCACGATCTGTTAACAAGTTGTATTTTTGGTAAATATTGACTCTGTAAATTTTTTAGGTTAGACTTCATAATCACCATCAGTTTGTCGAAATATTGGAGAAATTCATAGCTCTTTTGGTATTGTGCAGTCATTAACATCAAAACTTCAGTTTCATATAATATCAACTATAATCTTCATATGTCCATCATCCATAGAATTTTGTAGAGTGACCCATTCATATTATAGTTGGATATCTTACACAAATAATCTTAACTTTCAAACATTTATTTACTTGGTCGTTATTAGTTTTCCAGTAATTCTATATTCTCATTAGCTTGAAGAGGGGAGTCAGTTTTGTTCAACAACCTTACTCATATCAGTATGAAAACTAGTTCTAACACAAATTTGTCCCAGTCTCTACGTTCATTATGGCTAACTGAACAGTCTTTTTATTAAATCATTTTGATTTCCATCAAGTTAATCTTTATATTTATTCCCATTGTTTATATTAATATAATGTTTACTGTAATCGTTTATCCATTTATTCAACTGTCAGATACACACAATATCCAATATAAAACTTTAAATTAAAACCTCATATAGCAGAATACCGGTGATGAAATTTCGTTGTTTGTTTAGCACAACAGTAAGATAACTGTAAATATATTAATAAGTCAATTTATATTGCAAGAATTTCGTAGCATACCATGATGAGAAAAGTCGAGAAAAATGTAATTTCATTTGGATTAGTAAAGGATATGAAGTAAAAAGTAGTTAATTATGCAAGACTATGAGCTAAACAGTGTGGTTATACAACTACGCAGAACAGTTTCAAGTCGCATTTTCGGCTACTAATAACATTCTAGGTCATTGTTCATCTTACTAAGAAGTATGGATAAAATTCATTCATTCGCTGACCTAAACGTTTTTATCTCATCGACCTAATGCCAGTCACTACTTAGACATGTAATATGAATCAACCATATCAATCACTACAGGTCCATAACCTAATAAGTAAAAACGCGTACTAGGCATCGAAAATTCAATTGTCACTACATCGTTCATTTCTTCCTTGCATAATATCGCCTTAGTGATCCTTTAGACAGCAGTAAACCAGCTATGCGCCATACTCCTATATGTTCTTTTAATAAACAGGGAAACTGTTTATTGTTGGACAGTGTGTACCATTCATCTCTACCAAATCTTTCCCCCAATCAATAGCATCAATGTGCAATAGTGAAATCTTGAAGTTGTTTGATTACTTTGTTTTCCAATATCAAACTGGGTATGAGCATCCTGACAACTAGAAAGTCATCTATTATGGTAATTTCCTAACTCCTATTAATTAATAGATCTTATATTTAATTTACAAGTACCTTGTATTTTGATTTAGACAGTGATTTTATACGGCTCAATGAAGCTACTCCCTCATTTCCATCACTACAAGGAGTTTTACTCATTACGAAATTTCATTTTATAAATATCCAATTAATTAATTTTTCATGTATCTTAGTTCTTTTAAGTTGACTGATGGCTGATTATTTTTCCCTGTTTCTTCTTCATTGCTCCGAATTCATGTATCATTGTGTTCATCTTCGGGAAATGCGATCATCATGCCTCATTTTTTCACAACCTATTCTGTTGGCATTCAAATCATAAATATTAACCTATCAGGCCACTCCTGTAAAGCAACAGTTATTCAGGACAGCAATTTTTTTCTATCTCCTTTACCTACAAAATAATTAAATTGCAGTATAAAGATGTCATTGTATATTGTTCATCATTCCTATGTCAGCTTCAATGTCATCTTCACCTTTTTGCAACTCTATCCCTCTTTTTGTATGTGTGTGTGGTTATGTCATTGGGATTTATTTCCTGTCTTTCTCTTAAAATAGGGATCATATAAAGGATCTGAATATAATTCTTCTGCTCTCTTCTTATTATAATTATTCGTAACATTAGTTAATTTACATCCATTCTACTTATGTGTATATGTACAGTGTTCATATTGTGCTTTATATATAACATCTTTTATTGACATCAGCATTGTTCTCTTTACTCATATGGACTTCCACAGTTTTGTATTAAAACTCAGTGATTTATTTGAGAAGACATCATTAGTTTACTAAATAGTTTACTTGCGTCAAATATCCACTAACTGTTAGCTATTTGAATAAACACTTTCTCATAAAACGATTAGTATTTATTTATTGTAGAATTGCTAAACACTTGTACGACAGGTGTGTTTTGCAGTGCTTTTACTCAACAGTGAACTCTGTAGACATAATATTACATGGAGTAACTGGGAGTGAATTTAATTTCAACTTGCCGGCTGCACTACTAACCTCTGGCGCGAGAGAAAATGTTTGTTTCACTCAATAACACATTAACGTCTGTATGTCAATCAGGTCTGTACATCAATTGAAAGAAAACCAGTCTGGAAATCCATAAGGTATTAGTCTGGATCTTATAAACAGTCCAATTTTAACGAATTTTATAGATCTATGTATATAACCATTATCTAACGTGAAATGAAATGAAATTGCTTGTCTCTTGTTTCCTCAAATCTATGAAAACTGACGCTTAGGTTATATTTTCTGGCGGTTTCATTTCTCTTCGAGGATGAATTCGCAGTACCTATGACATACGTTTGACCGTGAATCCTACGTTGTAGCTAACTGACTGTGAAACCTAGTACAGCTTCACAAGAATGGTAAAGTGAAATTTCTATTGAATAGACTGATCGTAGAGAATAAATATCGGGTGGATAAAAAATTTCAATTAGTCTTCGTAACTAAAGACTTTTGAACCAAGATATACCAAGAAGCATCCTCTTTTCTTTAGGTATTATGCATCAATCTTTTAACGTGAATATTGCCTGCAATCAAAGTTTCACGTAGTCTACTTTGTAATAAGCGAATAGTAGATTGTTACAAAAAGTGATACTTTTCATCATAGACTGACTGTAATTCAAGGTTAACTATAGCTTGAATCCAACCAAAAGAATTATTCTACGCTTATAAAGAGATCTGTGGGGAGAAATTTAGTTCTAGTATTGAATAGTGCAGAAATTTAGTAGTATTCATCTTCCTAGTTAGCGTAGAATTGCTGGCTGACTCGTGTTGCTGTCGAAAGCACGTTCCAAACAAAGAAATCAGACCCCTGAAACTATTGCCTCGTATATTCCACCTCTAACTGAGTCTATATTTGAGGTGTACATAAATTATATGTTAGAGTGACTGCAGGCCATACTGACTGTCAAATAAACTGAAACCTTGTAAACAAGTTTGCGAAGTCAATAAACCCACGATACTTCAAATCACAAAAATAAAACAATAAGAGTAAATATTTTCAGAAATAAATGTTCTGTTTTTGTTAGATGTGGACGAATAAATGGAATAGCCCAAACTTTGAAAAATACTTCGTATATATGTTGATTGGTAGATAAAACCGAATGTCTCGTAACTGTAAATACATATCTACTTAAATAAATAAGTCTCCAGGGTTCTGACTCGGAATATTTTTGTTGTGGATGCGAAGGATAGACCAATAATTATCATGTTAAGTCCAATGGTGTCCTTGGACTTTAAATGGACATTTCCTATTGGTCGATATCTGTTCACTTGTTGAATATGGTACAAATTGTTGTTTTCTATTTTTATGGTACGATGTGGTATGTTTGGTTAGTATATAAATAGAGTATGTCTGAAATACAATGATTCATATCTCAGAGGCTGTGACTTGCGTTCTGGACTCAACTGGCTGGGATAGACAGGGAATCGGGACCAATCGTAACTCTAGGTCGTCCATTACGTTCGTACTTATATACGTGTCACTGTAACCGATCAATAAAACCTGCAGTCTCACTCGTCACAACAATTTTGATAATCCATTTAACCAAAACTTATAAGAAAGTAGAAGTCCCATACATGCACGCTACATTGTGGTATCGTGGTTATTAATACATACAGAATATTTTCACTATATATTCATGAGATTGGTGGAAACGTTTGTCTCTCAGAGGGTATAACAATTGAGTAGACTGTTAACAAAGTGATATTGTGTAATCTAATTTCGATAATGAATTAGTTGATTTCTCAACTGGATTATAACCTTGATTTCATTTGTACAAGAATCTGGTTTCGGGGTGTTCATGCCTTTGTTGGTTAGTTATCTACCTAGATATGTATTCAAACAGTTTGATCTCCCTAGTTCAAATAAATCAAGACAAAAGTTGTAGGAACAGCCAAGTCAATCAGAAAATGGATATTGTTTTTTAGCCATATGTACAATCGATCTCGGTCGACACAGTGTTCTCACTAATTCAATTCAGTCTGAATATGATTATGTAATGTATGCTCCTTCACTGACTGCGTCTGGAATTTACTGAATGCAACCAGTTGCATACCACTAAAGCATTTATTATGTACCTCGAACTGGAATATTTCTGTAGGTTGTTTTCAGTGTGCTAACCTATCCCTGAGGATGAATCTGCATGGTATATAAGAACTATAGAGTAATATAGGTAGGTGTCTTAGAGTTAAACTTCCTGAATTCATAGTAAGACGCCTTATTCAACATAGTAATATTACTTGATTTCGGTACTTTTGAAAAGGGACTTTCCACACCGGAACTCGAGCGGTTTTATTAGTGTATACGGAACCAATAGAATCCAAGCAGGAATGTTGAACGAATGGAATTAGTTTTATCACACTTAACATTTATGAGTTTAACCAACTCAGCTCATCTGATAATAACTACCCTATGGTACACTGAGAAATCTAGGTGTACCTATAAAGTAAGATGGTGGTTAGAGGTAGTCAACAGGAAATCATGGACCCGGGTTCCGTGTTACTTGGCACTCGTCAGCAAGGTGTACCTGTAATCTTGAGGGAACTGGCGCTCCCTGATGGATCTGGTCCCGTGTCACCCAGTTTCAGTCAGAGAAGTCACCACTGGGCTATTCGGGCAGCGACCGGCCTCTTCTAGGACTGAAATGTAGTCAAAACTGACTGATCACTGGGTGGTGATCAATGTCACATGTGTAAAGTCATTCTTAGTGCAGATCAAATGCAATGTTGAGTCACCTAGACTAGTGACCACATTGCAACTTGGTCGATAGCATTTGATCTGCACTAAGAAGGACTTGACACATGTGACATTAATCACCACCCAGTGATCAATAAATTCTGACCTATAAAGTACCAAGTGCTCTGCATAATTAGATTAATGCTCTACAATTAGATTCAAATCTCATCATTTATTGTTTTAATGTAAAAGTAATAACCGCTTAAAGTAGATCCATCAGTGCAACGACCATTCTGATACCATCTAATAAGAAATCTATGAGGAAAATAATAATCAATACTCTTGACTTTGAAGGTTAATGTATAAGTAAGTTAGCATTTAAAATGTCACTTTCGAAGAATACAACATACTGTTTCGTTTGAATGTCTTATAAAAGCTGATGTTCAGAAACCATGAATTATTGTAATTTCAAGATATTTAAAACCTAAACTAAGATACTTTTTGTCATCTGACTATCACTTTTTAAAAGAAATGATAGTTTCTTTTTATAGAGGACTTAACTTTGACCAGATTGTTTCTACAGTTCAAATTTGATAACTTTCCCATCGATCTACAAAATATCACTGTTATTCTAGTATCATTATTACTCATTTAATGCCCATTATTGTTTATGATTGTTGCTTTAGTGAGAAGAAAAACAACTTTTGTCTGTAACATCACTAGTTTATAAATTCGGTGTTTTTATTTTGAACTTCATGTCTTTTGACTGCGACAAAACACCTATTAGTTTATTGATTTTCTCTGATTAGTAGATTCCTATCAGTGTTAAACAATAAAAGAATTAACATTCGTTGGAGATTTCTGTGTCCAAGTAATGTGGAGAAAATGAAAGTTTTAATAAATTTCATTCTCGTTTTTACTCATTTATTTAGTCTATTTAATAAATAAGAGAACCGTTATGCTCTAATATCTTGAGGTTTATAGTGGAAATCGGGGAAAAAACTAGAAAAATTTGTGAAATTAAGAGGATTATTTATAGAAACACCCTTTTTCAAATAAAGATCAACCACTTCAACTTGGGAAAAAAGTGTTCCGTATTTTCTGATCACAAATCCACTTTCTGGATGTTTGTTGATTGTTTGAATATTGGTAAAGTCTTTATGCACCTGATTCTATCAAACATGAAACTACGAGATGAAGAAAACATGTTTTGAACAGCGGGACAAAGATAGAACAACTGTGTTATCATATATAGCGAGTATTTTGAAGGTAATATAAATTAATGTATTGTCGGTTCATGTAATTGTTGGACAGACTATAGATTCTTTTTAAAAAGTTTATAAACTACAGAAATTAGAATTAACTGTACAATCAGTAGTTTTCACATTAGGTGATTTTTGTTCAATCAACAAATTAAACGTCCACAGCAGTTAACAGTCCTTCAATACTGATTTCGATTCATCATCAAAGAATCCATCTACTACTTTTATGAGTTTTTTTAAGATTCGATAGTCTTTTCTTTATATTTTCCATTAAGTTGTGCTCTTCATCTAGTATCATTGAAGACAAATGATTAAATTCACCAATTTTGGCCTAATTATCAACGACTAATTCATTTCTTGCATAAAATTTGTAGAAAATTTAAATGCTATTTCGGCTGTAGATTTTTATTTTCATTCGGTATACAGATGAAGTTGATACGAATTTAGGTCTCTGGATTAACTCTTAACTTAGCTTCTATGCTTAGATACTATAACACCTTTTGAATAACCAAGTCTACTACAAAAGACAATCTCATAAGGAAGATTTGTTTGTAGGCTCCAAAGAAGTTTGATTCTACCGAATAACACCCACGTATAAATACATTTACAACAACCTAAGTAAAAGGGTGAAAAATCAATACACTAGAAGATCCGCTAGTCAATAAGAAAACAGCATCTTTTTTTGAGGTAACGATGAAAGTTGGATCCGTTGGAAAACTTGCGACGAAGAAACAAGAACTCAAACTCGTAAATTAAAGGTGACAAGTTACTCAGTAAATATCTTGAGGATGTAACAATTCCAACAAGAGTATGAGTCTTAATAGTTGAATTCATGAGTCGATCTAAGCTAAATCTTCAGTGAAAACCTCCAAGCACTGGACGGCCTTTACGTTCAAGGATGGAACTCCGGCATCCAACAGTGTTAATGTCTAACTTCAATCGATCCATGATATTGTGCTACCATTCATCGATTGTCTCAGATAGATACCTGATACGGATTGAACTCCACTGGTCACGGCTTCCAGTCTAGCTTAAAATCACTACAATCTCCAAAGACCCCATTCTTATCAAGAGTATAAGGGTTGAATTTTGAGAAAGTTCTATCAGCTAAATTCAGATAAAAATAGTTAAGTACTATTTGTGTTGTTTAGTAGTATGACTCAACTTTCAATCAGAATTCGGTGAAGGCGAAATATTTCACTAAATAGTTTCCTTGTTATCTTGTATATTACATGAATGAATATTTGGAAAATGCAGAAAATTTGTATTTTCATTGTTTTTCCTCAGGTATAGGCTCATGGGTTGTTTTCCTAGTTTACATTAAACTACGTGCATTAATACGAATCCGATCATCAAAAAATATTTTCCCGGGTTATCTTCACCATAAGTGAACGACATTGAACTAATAATCCATGATTAGTCAGACATTACTCAACAATGAAACTGAGGTAAAGTTTAAAATCAAGTGTATCTTGTATTAATCGAAAGCTTGTCACCAAACTAATAGACAAATAATCATTTCTTATGGTCGTTGTGATAAGCATGAAATGTTCATTAGATAAGATATACAATACTTGTAATTAATGATCTGTTTGTAATTTTAAATTTTATCCAAGTACTTACTATTTAAGAAAAAAAGATCAATCAGAATCACTTGAAACAGTCATTATTAATATATATGACTGAATTATGATACAATAAGTTAATGTTAACTGCACCCTACTATAAGGATAACCGCAGGTATTTATTGGGTATCTGTATATATTCCTTTCGTTTGACTTATTAGCTATTGTGATCTAATTTACCATTCTTAACTTATTCCCGATGTATTAGTTACAATATCCCACACTCAAAGCCACTTTTGGCTTAATCTTGTATAATTGTTAATTTCTGTTTTATGGCGTGATGAGGTGTGCTTTGCCTGTATATTAACTGCGCATGTCTGAAATGCATGATTTATAAAGTACAGGCTGAGATTATGTTCTGAACTCAATGGGCAGTGTTAGGCAAGAACAACTAATAAAAGGACTCAACGTTAACGCATTACTAATTTAGTATAGGGACATGGTCATACAATTCAACTTTCTGATTAGCAATTCTTTACGTGATAATTGATGGGCTATAGGACGTAATAAAGATCAAGTCATTAAAACTTACGGGATAGGTTATTCTCTGAGACTTTTCTGTTATGTTTACGTAAAGTGTGAAAACGGAATGCTAAGATATTTATGGTTGGGTTGTGATGCTGCACTGAATACTAGATTCTCAATATATGACTTAGTAACTGATCATTATATCGGTAGAACTAAACATTAAATCAGTGAATTCAATAGTACACGATACTTGGTTCCATGATAAACTTGAATCAATTATCCAATAACCTATCAGGATCCAGATATAAATCAGAACCGCAACGTATCATGATACAAACTGAAAGCGGTTGACATTTGGGGATCGGTTTTACATAAATGATGGTCTCTTATATTTAATGTAATCAGGTATGTCTATCTTTGCTCATTGACCATTGACGGCTTGACTTGACTGATATATCAAAAACTAACAGTTAGTCTAAGAACAAGAAGGTATTATGACTCTTATTCAGCTCTGTCTTAATGAAATGGCTATGCAGTATCAATCCACCTTCAAATTCCTCAAACTTAAACAATAATCCGTTAATATAAATTATGCGATTATTCGAGTTGACTAGTCATTTGTCTGCACATTGCAGACTGTACTTAAAACTTTCAATCAGTAAGAAAAATCTAAACGATTTTAATTTTATTAACAATCAAAAATGAGAATAAACTGACTATTCAATCGTCAGTATCTTTTATTCATTTCAAATAAATATATCCGATGAAATAGATGAAAGGGAGAGGTAAATTTTACTGAAAATAATGCACTTATAAGTAACTTGTTCTAAAGTGTAACTGAGTGGGGGGAGGGGGTGATCAGTTAACGAAAAGCAAAATCAATATATGATTGCATTTGTAATTTGTTGACCTATTAGTGTCGCTTAACATTATGATCCATTCAACTAATTGTTATTAAAATATCTATTATATTATAAGTTGCAGTTATTTTAAATAATAACGTTTACATACATCAATTTACTTCTTAACAGAAGTGTATTAATCAATATTCGCTACGGCATATATATACTGTTATAAAATAGTCATTCTCATTTTAGAAATGTATAAAACAATGCCATCTTTATTGGTGGTGGTCAATAAGCTTAGAGTTAATTAGTTACTTATTCAATACATAAAACTATGTTTATAAAGACACTAGAAAAACTAGTGAATAGAACAAAACAATAACAATATTGTTATTCTATAGATCTGATTTCCAATCATTTCTATCCATTTAACTTTTCGGTTGATGATAAATTTTGATTGGTTCTCAAAGAGCTAAAAGACTACTTGATAGTGATTGGTTAATGCTTAGCCATGTCAAATTGACCAATCAGCAAACAGTTTAAATATATATATATATATATATTCACCCAATCATTGAATAGGAATAAAGAATTTATACATTTTTTGTTTGTTTGCAAAATAATGTTTCTTATCTGTAAACTATCATAGTCTGAGTACTTAAGATAATAAGAAATTCTGATAGGATAAACAGTAGATTATTATAATGAAGGATAATCTAGATTAACTCTAAAAGAATAAACAGTACTTCAGTAAGTATTCAACAAAGAATTAATAGTAGTAGGAATACAATTCGAAGATTATATTTTCAGTCATCGTTATCACTGTAGTGAATTGTAACCACATTTGTTTTACGAACTGGAGAAACAATATGATTAGGATGTTTAAATTGATTCATTTGAGTTTGATCTGATTCATAATTATGTGATGAATATGCTCCCAATGTACTTGAATTAGATAATCCAGAAATAGAAATATTATTCGGGTTAGTAGATAATTTACTATTATTCTCATTCCGTTTAGATACATAAATGATTCGAGGACTTTGTGGATTTGCCGTTCGCTCGTTATTATTATTATTATTATTATTATTATTATTATTATTACTATTATTACTAACAGTGTGTTTTTGTGACTGGTCAACTGACACTGTTTTCCAACCATCTTTATTAGTATCAACCACCCGATTTTGATAAGAGTTAGAACTTTGTACAGTTCTTGAATAACCTGTGTATGATAGTTTACTTTGTTCATCTATATGGATGACGGATATTTCTGATGATGATTTTCTTGATGAATCAACTAATGTTTCTGTACTGCCAGTTGGAGTGCGTTCTGAATTGGATGAACGGTATTGTGCTGAGTTTTTCTTGTTGAAATCAATACCATTAGGATTATGTTTTGAATTAAGTTTTAATTGATTAGGGTGATACATGAATCCAGACTGATGAATTTCAGATTTATGACGATCAATCTGCAGTTAAAGATTTTGTTTAGAAAACATCGTAAAATTATGTTCAGTGACCATTATTTTTTCGTATTGTGTATTTAAGTTTGTCGTTAATAGGAGATCGTGAAACTAAAAATTTATCACTCCTGAGTGAATGGATCATCAAGCGAACGCGTGGGAATTAGCATCACGATCAATAAACATAAAATCGAGTACTATAAGACACAACTAGCACATTGCGAAATGATTGGATAAATCTCAGTAGTCGATTTTATATTCTCTCTTTGTCGTCGCTTGCGAAAATGATAAAGTCATAATAAATCTCAGAACCTATGTCTTATTGTTTGATAGTTAAATAATTGTTGTAGACAACATTCTATATACATCGAAGGAGTCAATGTACCAAAAGAGACTATTCTAATGTGGCTCTGAATATCGACAACGGAACAATACTCCTATCAATCTTAACATCGCAAACAAAAGAATAAAGCACTAGCGATTAAGACAATTAAAGTTGTTTTGAGTGTCAAAGCAATCATCAACACCGGGATTCAGATACATGTTGAATAGAATGAGACGAGTTTCCAGTATTTCACAGCTATCTATCTATTTAGATTGTTTCCTGTTTGTAAGAGGATCTGTAACAACCGTCATTATTAGCCTTTCGGTAAGTGACATGCATTTTAAGATATAAATAAATAATTCCTATCACTTTTGTCCTAACCATTCTGATTTTTATGATCTGTCACACGTAAAACTCCATCAAAATACAAATAAAATAAGGGAAAAGTCACTTAAATTTTCAAGTGAATGTTTTTATGAGAAATAGTAAATTATTTTTATTACCGCACTATTCATAAATGGCTAACAGGAAAAGTTTGAAACGTCATAATCACATTTTCGTTTCCTGTCTTCCAACCTCGTAATACCTACAAATTAGTCAGCTTAGAGAATTTTATTGACAAGCATCTCATGGTAGATTTATCATCTTATTCCATGATACGTTAATAATCTGTTTATAGTGTGAATGGTTCAGTAGCATTGGACGTCTATTTCTTGCTACTATTGAAATCTACTTCAATATCAGGATAAAACATATGTCCAATGCTCATTGGCTTTCAATAAATGTTAAATTAAGATCAGTCCGTGCTGTGAGCTATAAGATCAGTAGTTGCAACGAACCTTCTATACTACAAAAACAATTTCACCAGGTAGAAAGCACTGTAAACTAAGTAATATCTCAATGATCAAGATATTTTTATTTAGAATCTCTTCAGAGTACACTCTTTAAAAAAGTAATTGGGACTATAGTCCTATTAGATTCACTGATAATTTCTGTTCATACTTAATCTTCAACTTTCGTTCTTCAAAGCTCTAAGTAATAAATAATTAAACGTTAGTCGTTTGCTCAAATGATGAGTTACTCATTTACACCCAACGATAACATTTGAAAAAAGAACTATACTACTTTAAAAGCGTTAAATAGTATGTTCACTATAAAATAAATTGATTACCTTGATAATTGTTCCTTTTCGTTCATTTAGAATATTTCTTGAATGATTTAATTCATTTTTCCGAATATTTTTATAGAAGTAATCATCTCCATAATTTGGTACAGTCAATATATCATGTACATCACTTGAATATGAATCATTTGGTGACAGTTTCAGAGTATCTAGACGTGGTAATTCTTCATAGACATATTGTTCATTGTATTGTTCATGGATTTCTCGATGTTCATCATCATCATTATTGTCATCATCATCATCGTTATTGCTACCATCATCAACGCCATCCAATTCCTGATCTAATATCAGTGTAAGATTGCCTCTTTTCAAATCTCTATGTTTTCTACCAAATGCGTTCAAATAGGATAGACGTTTTATGGCAGGTTTAATTTTATGCATTTTAAAATTATGATGGTGATGGTGGTGTTCTTGGCGATTATTCATTGATGAACACGAAAGCGGACTACAACTGACTAGCTCAATACCTGGATCATCAAAATTCTTTTTACGTATTAACGGTGATGGTTCATAATTAGCTGGATAGGAGGCTAATGATGATGATGATGATGGACTGATAGTTCGAGGAAATGATGGCGACCTACGGCTAACTGTGGAATAATTACTTGGTTCAGAATCAAAATCTAAGACTCTTGATGTGCGATATCGATCCGGCGCTGCAACTTGGTCAAGAAACAAAACGCTTCTATGACCACGACCTAAATGATTATCATTTTCACTATCTGATTGGTCACTACCATTTAAATGTGATAATCGATTTGTTGGATGGAATCTACGCCTGACTTCCGAAGGTGAAGATCGTAGATTAACCAGAGACACACTAGTTGCAGTATCTGAATCAAAAGTTTTATCTTCTAACGAATTCAGATTGGGATTAACACGAGAACTTGATCGAAGAATTGACTTTTTTGGTGCACGAATCCCATAGGTCTGTTAATTCGAGAAATAAATCACAGAAATCAAATTTAGAAAATTCAATAAAGATGATCCTGAGAAAATCCTGTTATGACTAAGACGGACTTACTGTTATTCATGCTCAGAATGGACTTAAGTGGACGTAGACATTAACTAATTAAATGAATACAGGAGAACATACATGCTCTTTTTAGTAAATAACTGACATTCATGGTGTTTTTGATTACTAATTTCCTACCGGAGGAAGAAATGTGTGCAAAATGCATGAAAAAGAATTATGTAACCCCGACGAGTGACTGTGACATCACGAAAATGCATCTGAACATTCGGAAATGATTGTCAACAGGTTTCTGGGTCGTAGTTCATTCACCACACCAGATCATCTGACCTTACTCATCAGGATCAACAGGATGTAGATTGTGTTTTTTGCCATATATTAAACAGCATCATTGCAACAACATACAAAAGATAAAATATGAGATGAAGAGGCAGTTGACAATATTGATTTTTAGGAATCTCCCGGAATAACTTGCATAATTAAAACAGAGATGTAACAAGTATATTACTACAAATTATGAGTGCTTTTAAAGGGATACTACTGAGGTCTCCCCCACAACTCATAAAATAAAGTTTCAACGTGTAGTTAACTTCAGATTTTACTTTAATCTTTGAATTGGACAAATGAATACTTTATTTGATTTTTTCACAATTTTAGAGAAGTCAAATAGCCAAATGTTCTCATGCCATTATCTACATGCTTCAATAAATTCTCCCTAAATATTTCCAGTGTAATCTACATGGATGCAACTTAGGTACTGAACACAATGTGATGTAATGTAAGTCGCGTATATATATTTCAACCAATAAATGTTATTCTCAAAGTACGTACATACGCATAACTTTAAATATTTAATAAATTTTAATCATCGGGCCAAGCAAAAGAGTCATGAAGCTGTACAATAACTTGTAACTTGATCAAAAATCCCAAATGAAATCTAAGCAGATAATAACATTTTTTTCTAAAATCACTTGAATAACATGATAAAAGGAATTTGAACTTCGCTGATAAATTTTTCTCACTAAACTTTAAGAATGACCTCACAACAAGTTTAAAATCCTCAGCTTGGGTTAGAAATATTCATCGACAACTTGAAATTTGGGTTCAAACGAGAACGAATCTATTTGAAATAAATAGATATCAAAGATTCGTAACATGATGGAATAATACGTTCGTTAAATTTCTTCTGTACACCTACTCATTAGATTATCTAGGTCCACTTTAGGAGTCCTTGTAATCCGAAGAAGCAGAAAAATACATTGTTTTCAATAAGAATCTTGTCATCATAGGTATACATGATGAATTAAATAAACTTGTTATAAACCATTAGAAAGCGATAACACTGTATCTCATTACACTGAGTCCTAAGGGCTCGATTCTCCTTGATACAAACAATGAAATTCAATAAGCTCCACCATTCTCCTATACTCGTAATAATAATGTGCTCACTTGTGACTAAATTGGAGAAATCATTCATGGAGTTTCATTAGAATTCATTACTAGTGGAGTTCATTCATGTTGGGTGTGAGGCAGTCTTTACCCAATAATAACTGTAACAGATGACTGTGTGATGTCGTGACTTTATTAAAACAAAACATGTAAACCAGTGGAGCTCAACTCAGTGGTCTAGAAGTCAAGATCTCGCCAAGAAGTCTGAAGGTCCTAGGATAGATTCTCCAACGGCTCTTGGTCACTGCTGAGGAGTTCCATGCCATGACCAAACATCTATCAAGTGCTTTCTGGTTCCCAACAGTTATCTGATGAACATCTATTCATGATCCAACCTATAGAATAATGTTCCCGAACCCTGTTATTCTATACATTTTTAATAAATCACCGCCTCTTTCACTCTGTTAAAGTCATACTTTAAATCAGTTAATCCACAATGATACGATCTTTTTTAGTTTATATTTTATCTTCAAATTGAATTTATAGATTTTACACAATACGTTATCAAATTCATGGATGCTTTATGGAGTTGCTTCAATACTCAAGATCATAAAATTTCTAGAATCTGATCACTAATGTATTAATAAATGTGAAATTTTCATTTATGCCGTATTGAAGCCTTTTTAGTAAACAATGAATACTGTGTTTCTTAAGCACCATAAGCATAACTGGTAATACATGAGAATCCTATTTATAACAGTCCGTTATATTTAAACGACGAACTATATCAACCATTCACATTGAACCATCTAAATATGATGTCATTATTGATTTTCATATTGCTTTTTTAGATCAAAAATATAATAGAAACATAGAAACAAATTGTTGTCTCGATAGCAATAGACATTATCGTTTATATGTTTATTATTAAGAACGAAATCACTATCACCTTATGTGTGTACATTTTGAAATATGAATTGTTTCATAATTGTTTCAGATTTACTTAATTTCTTCCCTACATAAAAAATTGTACATGAAATAACAATAGAATAAACTCTGTTTATTTGAAGATATACATTAAGGTTTCTGGGTGGGGGTTCGGTAATAAATCCGTTATCAATAACAATTTTGATTGGAGAAACATTTTCAGTTTTAAAAAAAATTAATGGTTTTTAAATCACGTATAAAGTATGATCTGTCTAACGTACTAGAAAACTATAAAACTACTTCATATATTGACTAAATGTTCTACAAAAATTCATATATATTCAAGACATGTGTAATGGAAACCTTAAACATTTACATAAGTTTCAGATAATTAAATCAAAAATGTCGCCATTGCTAACATTAATGAGCTTGACTGTTGTGTCAGGAGAATAGGTCAATTTTGGCCTGTTCGTGCTGTGCATAATTGATTCACGCGATCATTGATCGTAATAACTATACATGTGACGTGAATGTGTATATGAATTATGTGAATGGTTCACCAGGCTGCTTGATACCTGTGTGGTTGTTCCACAGGATTGAGCTGTACTATTCAGATTGTAGCGTTAAAGCCTATACGGCGTCTAGTTCTCCTGTGAAGCGGGATTGAGCTGTATTGCTCAGGTTATAAAACTTAAGCCTGGATGGTGTCTGGTTCTCCTGAAAACCAATGTAAACTTACCCTGGCTAACAATGGTATATTATATAACTAACTATGAAGAAAGAATTTCAATAATTTCGGATTAATTTTGATAGACTTTTGTTCTCTGAGCTGGATGGTTTGTTCATGGAGCATAAACCTGAAGTTTGTGTTGATGATTTCATTCAGATCCACGATCAAATCATCCAGCTCAGGGAACAAAAGTCTATCAAAATCATCCACATGAGCTACAAATCTTCTCCACGATCTCAATTTCGGACTAATTTTCAGTGATTCAGATATATCGCATTCAATGCATCTCCAATCGGATAAATTTGATCACTAAAAATTAAATCGAAAAAACATTCTGAATCACTTGACTCAGAACAAAACCTGAAAATTCAGGATTCGATCTATTGAGAGGTCGTTGGTTTGCGCTGCTGAGGAGTCCCATACCAGTAGGAAACAACAGTCCAGTATTCCATGATTTTAATGATATTCCAACTAGGATTAATCAGAGACGATTTACAAACTAAGATGATTTCATTAAAACCACTTATTCTAATATAATTCAATTCATCAAAGTATATGTAATCACATATATTATTAATATTTTAAACCGAGAAAATAAACCGATTAGTGTATCTTCATTGGTTTCTTGAAAATAATAACTAACCTATTACATAAGCATTTATCATTGTCAACCCTAATTGAAGGAATCATTTCATTTTCACAATTAATACATTCAGAGTAATATAGGTGTGTTAGTTATTAAACTGTAACCTATTAGAAATATGAGGAATAGCGAGATTTTAAAAGGCAGAATGTTTTATTATTGAACACTACGTTTCGCTTAATTCTTAAATAAAATTCAACTTATCTCATAGATTTAGTTAGTTGTCATAATACCGTACAGACAGTTAAGTGAATTAAGAGATAGAAATCGTGTGATAAAATCAATTTTTCGCCATTGTATTAGATAATTGGTGTAAAATGCGATTTACAATTGTTGAGAATTGGAATTATTTCGAATGAAAATAAGAAACGTCAGTAAGATTAAGTATTGATTGGGATCATGAGGCGATCAATGATAGACAACCATTGAAAACCTGAAAGCACTGGACGGTCGTTTCGTCCAAGCAAGTACCCAGGACCCTCAGCCTGGCGCGCAAACTCTCAACCTAAAGACGATTGAACCGGCACCCAACAGTGTTGATGTTTAACGTCAACCAATCCACAGTATTGCGCAACCTCTATAACCCTATACTGACAATCGTCACCAGTGACTAGTTTCGAGAGGTAATTCTCGGAATTCTAATGAGAAGCTGTGAGGCAGTTGCCTACTGAAGATAATGGAAGATGGTTGCACAATAACGTGGATTGGTTGACGTTATATATTAATGCTGTTGGACGCCAGCTCAATCGTCTGTAGGTTGGGCGTCCGCGCTCGAGTTCAAAGGTCCTAGTTTCGAGTCCAGCTTGCGGGATCGTGGATGCATACTTTTGAGGAGTCCCATACTGAAATGAAACGGCTGTCTAGTACTTTTAGGTTTTCATTAGTAATATTACCTCGATTAGTTCATGATTTCGAAAAAATTTAACAATCTTTACATCCCCTTACTGACCAAGAATTAATTCTGTTGCTTTGAGATTAATAATTTATGCTACTAATAAACCAAACAACAGTTTTACAGATTACCAACCAGAGAATTCACATCCAAAACTTCAAGTTCATTTATTCTTAAAAATTATTTCACTAGTCGAAATCATGAGTCAATTGAAGCTAAACCACCATCGAAAACCTTGAAGCACTGGACGGCCGTTTCGTTCTAGTATGAGACTCCTCAGCAGTGTGTATCCACGATCCCACCTCACGAGGTTCGAACCCAAGATCTATCGGTCTCACGCGCGAGCGCTTAACTATTAGACTACTGGGCTGGCCGG